GCAATTATACAAATACATTTCTTAAAAGATGGAAGTTAGGATTTATATTACCTCATTCTCCAGATGTGAGGTAATGTTACTCCATATGTTCTAATTCCTTTAATATGTTTGTTGGAAACAGAGTTTCATAGACTAACTACTTCCTGGTGTGGGAGTATCTTATCTGAATCATAGAAGGCTCCAGAGATGGGGCAAGCTGATAACTTGAGCCAGGGAGATGAGGTCATTCTTTCTGCCAGTTATTGCAATCTTGCAAAAGGCAGAGCCTGGGACATGTTTCTTGGACCAGAAACTAGACCGAAGTGGGAGGCCCTTAGGCAGAAGAAAGATTGGAGTGGTGGTCAGTGGAGTTCATCCTGAGACCTGTCCCCATCTTGACCTCTCCTCTCCCACCCTCCTCCGCACTCTACCAGGGGTGGGGAACCTTTTTTTCTGCCAAGGGCCATTTCGGTATTTATAACATCATTCTCTGGCCATACAAAATTATCTGGCCATTAAAAGTTAGCCTGCTATATTTGCTCACACATTTAATTAACTCATCCCTAATGCCTCGGCATGGCCAGACCAAATGATTTCCCGGGCCTTATACGACCCAGGAGCCAGATGTTCCCCACACCTAGAGTCTAGCCAGAGTGAACTTTTGTCATCATAAAAGAGCATGGTTCAGAGGGGCCATCATGACCTGTCCCTGCTTGCTCCTCCAGCCTTCTGTCTCACTCTTATCCTCTCTGAAACTCTACTGTCTAACCGTTATTAAATTTCTTTCAGGTCCATAAGAAAGTCACCATATTTTGTTTTTATATTTAGGCCGTTGTACTTATCCAACCCTCTATCCCAGCCCTCCAAACTGTCTAATTCCTGTTCATTGTCAAGTCTCAAAGGAGACCTCACTTCCTCTAGGAATTTTTCCCTGATCCTCAAGGCTGGGTTAGGTTTTCCCTTAGCACTCTGTCCTTAAGCAGAAGAAAGGTTGGAGCAGTGGTCGGTGGAGTTCATCCTGAAACCTGTCCCCATCTTGACCTCTCCTTTCCCACCCTCCTCCACACTCTATTCCAGGGGTTATCCAACCATGTTGCAATTGTCCATTAACTCATCTGCCCCTCCCTCCCCCTAGCCTGAAAGTGCCTTCAAGCAGAAGTAGAATCTGTCTAATATCTGACCTCATGAGATACCCCATGTTATAACTTCCCAATCAACTTGCTCCCGAATTCTTGATCTATAGAAACTGTGAGATAATAAGTGATGACTGTTGTCCTGAATCACTAAATTTTGGATAATTTGTTATATAGTAACTAGAGGCCTGGTGCACGAAATTCATGCACTGCAGGGGGGGGGGGTCCCTCAGCCCAGCCTGCACCCTCTCCAATCTTGGATCCCTCTCACAATCCGAGACTGCTGGTTCCCAACCACTTCTGCCTGCCAGCCTGATCACCCCCTAGTCACTCCCCTGCCAGCCTCATCGACGCCTAACTGCTCCCCTGCTGGCCTGATTGCCCCCAACTGCCCTCCCCTGCTGGCCCGGTCACCCCTAACTGCCCTCCCTTGTCAGCCTGGTCGCCCCTAACTGCCCTCCCCTGCAGATCAAGTTCCCCCTAACTGCCCTCCCCTGCTGGCCATCTTGTGGCAACCATCTGGTGTCCACATGGGGATGGCCATCTTGTGTGTTGGAGTGATGGTCAATTTGCATATTACCTCTTTATTATATAGGATAGATAACTAAGACACTGTCAAAACTTAGTGGCTTAAAGCAACCATGTCTCAGATTCTGTAGGTTCGTCACTGGCGATCTCTTGCTCCCTGTGGCACTGAGATGAACTCAGCAACATTCAGCTGATGGATGGACTGGTTGGGAGGATCCAGCACGGCTTCACTCACACATCTGGCACTGAGTGGGCTAGAAGGCAGCTCAGCTGGAGCAGCTGACCCATAGAGACTACACTTGGCCTCTTAACTCGAGAGGTTTTATACTTCTATAGCTTTTATGTTCGGATCTATGACTTACTTTGAGTTAATTTTTTGTATGATGTATGGTCAGGTCCAGGTTCATCGTTCTTCCAAGCAGATAGAAGACATGCCATAGTTACAGTAGCATTTGTTGAAAATACTATCCTTTCTTCATGTAATCACCTTGGCACTTTTGTCTGAAGCAACGAACTACATGTATCTATATCTGTCTATTTCTGGATTTTTTTTTTGGCATGTTCTAGTGATTTGTATGGATATCCCATGTGGTCATATTTTAAAACTGCCAAAAGCATGTAGCAATTCACTGTAGCTGAATTGTTCTCACGACATCACACACTGAAATCCTCAGGCACAACCCCTGTCACTTGGCTCAGGCTCCTGGGATAGGACTCTGCCTTATCATCCTGGGCTCTTCTCCCTCAGAGAGGACAAAGAACTCATAAAAGCTATTTCAAAAAGTGCTTGAGCAGAGGAGATAGGTGGGGGGAAGAAACGTAATCTCTTTTTGCCAGAGTTCTGGTCATTCACGTTAAACTTGGTTTGAAGAGCCGGAGAGAAGGATGGGTGGCAGGGCTATGCCCCGGCCGAAAGGACAATACCGCGACACATACAGTGGGGAAAAAACCCACTTTCTAATATTGCAACATGCCAATGGGTGGTGGGCCCAACAATGTCCTAAATGAGGTTGTTACCACACCTGCGTCAAGGCAGCATAAACTTTTCCTCTTAAGAGAATATTTTACTTCATGACTTTTCTTTTGCAAAACACTGATTTAATTGTTTCAAATTTGTTAAGAAAAGAGTTTTGGGGTAAGAAGTTACAGCAGGGCTTTCCTATTTCTCAAAAGTAACTTTGCTGTCAGTAAAAAAAATTCATTTACTAGAAATCTGAAACTCGTTTGCGAAGTCAATAGGTTAATCACCAGCTCCGGTCTCTAAAATTATTGTGAGATTTACTATGAACCCAGTAGTTGATTGCCTCGGGGTCTCTTTGCAGAGGTAGTGCTCCTCAATGAAAACAGATACACAATTTTAAAGTATAAAATGTTTATCAACCGTGCGTACCAAACAGGTTCTTTGTGTTTTTGCCCGAACCAGACAACACATGTGGCTTTTTCTACCACAGAAACTCTCCTAACTCCATTTCTACATTATCCAACATGGTCAGGCTAACAGAAAATCGAGGTCAAATGAGGAAACTTGGCAAATGGTCTTTCTCTGGCTTCACTGTTTGACCACCAACTGGCAAACACCATAAGAAAAACTGCACAGGAGATAGATGATAGGGTAAAAGGACATTTTTGACTATAGGCCCAGGCTCTTGTAAAAGAAGCAGGCCCAGGATTTATAGGAAATATTTGGGAATGAATTCAAAGTGCTGAAGAATCACAAAACTGTTTTTTTCCATTTCACAACAATAACAAAATCTCCATGCTTTAAAAAATGGAGATTTCTCCTCCTGCATCTACTGAATAATTTTATCCCATAATCCCACCTGTTGTTGTTATTCTCCGGAAGATAACTAAAAAAAAACTTTCCCGGATACGCAGATCACAGCAAATTATTGGCACTTAACAAATACGTACCACTGGTAGAATAAAGGGAGGTTCCAATGAGCTGGGACACATAAATTATCTCAAACTGGTTAATTTTTGGATGACTTTTTACCGATGAGAAAAACTTCCTTAATGTAATGCTAATTAACATTGTACGAACTGCTTCAGCTCCCTTCCTTTAAGAAGTTCTTAATTTGTGACTAATATAGCACAGCATCAATCGTAACACATCTGATAACCTATTTTTAAAAATCAAATTCAAGAATGCCAACCAGGTGACTCTGAAGAGAGTGGAGGCCCCGGGGAGCCCCTCCCTTCGGTCTTCCCAGGACAAAAGGATGGGGAACTCTCAGGGGTGTGGCTGGTGGAAGTAGGTGCTCCCAGGCGGAGAAAGAATTCAGAAGCAAGGGAGGACTTGCAAGGTTTGAAGTGTGTGGAATTTCCCCCTCTCGAATTAAGAGGAAGCTGCACAAAGTGGAAAGGGGAACGACGGAACCCGTATTGGCTTTCTTGGGGTTTAGGAGGAAAAAAGTAAAGCAAGAGGAAAGTGGGCAGTCAAGGACTTTGAGAGCTGGAAGTCTCCGTGCAAACATTTAGCCCAGGGGTTGGCAATTCTACCTGGAGCCGAACACACAAGAACTCTTAACGCAAAACAAAAGCAGACAGGACAGCTTGCGGTGGAGGGGCAGTGGGGCGAGGCGGGCGCAGGCACCCCTTCCCCCTATACGAGCTGCTAGAAAACCAAAGGAAGAAACAGACGACAGTGCCCTGCGTATGGGTACAGCCCAGGGGCTGAGTGTCCCGTCTCCACACAACTCACCGCTCTTCGCGCTGCCGCTAGAGGGAGGCAAGGAGGGGCGGGAGCGTTCTGCGGGATCGGCGGGGTGAGGACCCCGTGGGGAGGAGGGCGGAGGGAGAGGGGCGGGGCGGGGCGGCCCTCGGCCCGGACTCTTCCCCGTGCGGCCACCAGGGGGCGCGCCCGGCCCGCGGCTCGCGGCCGCGCTCGGTAGTTGGGTGAAGAGGCGTCCACGCGCCCGTCGCCTTGGAAACGGAGGGCGCGGTGGCGGTGGTGGCTGCAACGGCGGGCCAGGTCCGCTGGCCCCCTCCGAGTGCTACTTCCCCGCCCACAGCTGCGATTCCGCACCTGGAAGCCGTGAGGGCAGGTGGGGAGGCTCCTCCATCTCCGCTGGGTCCCCATCTCCTTCCAGTCTGACCATGAAGACATTGCGAGCATCTCCGCCCCACCCCCACCGGCCCTGGAGGTTGCTTTCCCTAAAAAGGGCCTGACGTCCTCCACCGGGAGCTGTTCCTGGGCCTTTGGGAGCCCCTGGAGGGGTTCTCAGAAGCACACCCCGCCTCTTCGCCGAGGAAACAGCGTGCGAGGGCGATCTTTTGATCTGACCAGAAAATTAACCCGTCTCTCTCTGCCTTGCAGTGCGTTGCTGACTGGCCATTCCAGACCTTCTGCGCACAGAGGGCAGGATCTGAATGTCCTTCAGGTGTGTAACCTCACAGTCTCTAGCACAGCAGGCGCTCAGTTAACTAATAACCCTTCCATTCCTATGGGGCTTTAGCACTTGACGGTTTTCCCAAAGCATTTGAGCTTCAGTAGTCACTCCGGTGGAGGTTGGAAAGAAGGAAGAGAAACGGAGGGTCAGAGAGGCTTAGAGGCGTGTCCAGCAGAGGAGGAACTAGGACGAGCCCCAGTGTCGCTTTTCTTACTGTTCTTCTCACCGAATTCCCCGCCTGGTGAATGAATGCCTTCTGAGGGAGGGCCTCACGCACATCCTTGCATCCTACCCAACAGACACAGACACACTGTAGGTGTGTGTTGATGGCTTTTCACCCACACCCTCCCAATCCATAGATTTTGCTTTCTTTTTAAATTATTATTTACTTGTTAAATTTGTTTCCCCATAATTCTCTGCCGGGCCAAGAGAATGGTTGGGAGATGGGAGATGTTCCATCTAAGGGAGAAAAACGATTTCTGCGACGGCAAAGAAAAATAATGACTGGATATTTATTAGTGTGTGTGCTAATTGCTCATGGATTTCCTGTCTGCCACCCCAATACCCAACCTTAGTAGATCCTTTTTACATTCACCACTGCTGTTTGAAGATAGAGAGAAACCTTCTTGTTCTCCTCCTCCATCCAACTATAAAACTATAAAGTACTATAAAAGTACTGCTTGTATTTCCACTGTCCTCACAACAATCTCTTTGTGGTTATGTTTCTTTTTTGGTTTTCTAAAACTGAAGGAGAACAGGAGTTGGGTGACGAGGTGGTTCTGGTTGCTAGAAAAGTTAGTGTAATATACTGCATTTCAAACTATTTGTTACTAGCAACTCGGGATCAAAAGATAGACCAATCTTTAAGCTAAGAATCCAACATAATTTGGGAACTGCAGTTCAAAAATGTGCCACAGACCAAAGGATCTGTATTGGTAAAGAACATACATGCTAAAGCAACACAAATCACAATCATAGGAGTGAAAGTTGAAACTGTTATTTGGCCAGATATTTTTAAATACCTTGGTTTGAATATATAGTTACTTACCATATCTTTAAGCTGGCTGCATTTTACATTTTAAAGCTGCTTTGGGCTACATTTAGATAATCTCTACCAATAAGGTCTGAAATTTTTTAAGCTAACTTTTAGATAATGTTATCATTACTACAAGGCTTTAAATGAATTCAGGAGGTGTCTTTTGCTGGAGGGAATTCTAAAATACTTAAAAGTTGTATTAAAAATATGTTCTAGCGTAAGTGAGAATTTGAGTTTAAAAGTGATTTTGCTTTCCAAATTTAGGGTATATACAATATCAGGAGCACATAAATAGGGCCATTTGATAAAGAAAGTAACATACATTATTTACAAGTCGATCATTCAAATCAGACACTTATTGAATATCTAGTTTGTGCCTGTGGGAGATGCCAGCCTATGTGCCAATATCTATTCTTGAATTCCCAAAGATAAGGGTTTGTTGAAGTAGTTAGTTGCTATTCAGTATTGAAGGAGTTATGTTTTGTTGAAGATGAATGTCATGAATATTTTCAAATATATAGCTGAATTGACACTGTAATGAGATACATCTTTAGATTGCTCTTTAACAAAGACCTTTGGAAGTACCACATCAGTCGTAGTAGTAGTAAGACTTAACACAAGTTATAGCTAGTTAATGTCAAAGCCAGGATTAGACTTCAAGACTTCTAACACCCATATAGAAATCTTTTAACTAGATCATGCTTTCAACCACTAATGCAGTGGTTCTAAACCTTCCTAATGCCGCGACCCTTTAATACAGTTCCTCATGTTGTGGTGACCCCCAACCATAAAATTATTTCTGTTGCTACTTCATAACTGTAATTTTGCTACTGTTATGAATCATAATGTAAATATCTGATATGTAGGATGTATTTTCATTGTTACAAATTGAACATAATTAAAACATAGTGATTAATCACAAAAACAATATGTAATTATATATGTGTTTTCCGATGGTCTTAGGTGACCCCTGTGAAAGGGTCGTTCAACCCCAAAAGGGGTCGCGACCCACAGGTTGAGAACCGCTGCACTAATGGAATCTTATTGAGAACTTTTGTCATTGCTACTAAGAAAATATCTTTCATTTTAATCTACATTTGTAAAACACTAGAGGCCCAGTGCACAAAATTCATGCATGGGTAGGGTCCCTAGGCCTGGCTGGTGATCAGGGCAGATTAAATACCAACCCCCCCATGCCTTCCCGCCTCCCAGCCTCCTCCTCCACTCTCCTCAGCGCCTGCCAGGCCACTGGTTTCCCACCATGTTCCACACTGCCCCTTGGGGGTCAGTGCACGTCACAGTGAGCAATGGAACTCCTGTTCTCCTGGTTGAACTCCCAAGGGGGACACTTTGCATATTAGCCTTTTATATATATATAGATTAGCTAACAAACATCAGGATCCATTCCAAATGTCCAGCAAAGTATTAGGGCAGAACTTCCATCCCTCCCAGCCTCCACAAAATTATGGCACAAGTCATTAGGAGGCTTCTGGCTATTCTTGGCTCCACAAAGTGGTGAAAAAGTCTTCAGGAGCTTTCTAGATATTGAGCCAGGATCCTGAGACTGCACAGGAAAGGACATACTCAGTGGGGAGGTTATTTTGCAGTCTAGTAAAGCATTACAGAATTACAGTATATTGACGAAGATGGCTACTATATGTCCATTTTTACTAAACAGGCTTCTTGCTTTTCACTGAGAAGCATTTGAGGAATATTTTATGGAACATTTTCTGACAAAAAGTGATTATGGAGTAGACTCTAAAAAGGCTGGAGATCTGAGTCTTTCAAACCCAGCCTCCACAGCTGCCCTCACTCCATGGCATGTTATGGAATGCCCAAACAGAGGAAGCCCAGATGGCCCCAAAGGTCACACTGAGAGGAAGGTCTTCATATCATTCATTACCTGCACAATTTTGCTAAAGTCTTTTAAAGCTGTTCATTACTTTTTAAAAGTTCTGCTGGAGTATGCTTCTTTCTTCCTGTCAGTCTAAGTAGCAATCTCGCCTCTTCTATATTTTATAACCAAAGGCAAGGTAAAGTGTCATGATCAGAGCAGGCACTGAATAAATGTTTGTAGTTACCAACAAACAGGTCAGGTGTCCATTTGTCAGGAAATATTCTAAGTGAGACCTTCCTGGAAGATGATTCCATTACTTCATGAATGTTTTTCTAGGATTCTCACCCTTTACTGAGATAGAAATCATCTGGGTGATCAGGAACTATAAATCCTTTTAAATATTTACGAAAATCCTCATTGTTTGTAGAACATCATCAAATGCAAAAGTGCATGTTGAGGTGATGTCATTAACTCGTTGCAATCCTATATAATAAAAGTTGAATATGCAAATCGACCAAACATCGGAATGACTGGTCACTATGACGCGCACTGACCACCAGGGGGTAGATGCTCAATGCAGGAGCTGCCCCCTGGTGGTCAGTGCGCTCCCACAGGAGGAGCCCAACTCAGCCAGAAGTCGGGCTCACAGCTGGTGAGCGCAGCAGCAGTGGCAGGAGCCTCTCCCGCATCAGCGCTAAGGACCCCTTGGGTCCGACTGTCAGCTATCCCAGAGGGGTCCGGACTGCGAGAGGGTGCTGGCCAGGCTGAGGGACCCCCTCGCCCCCACAGTGACAAATATTGTGCACTGAGCCTCTGGTGCAACTATAGAACAGGCAATCCAATTGGCTTACTAATTTTCTGGAAAGGGTGCGAAACAATGAATCTTAATATAGTTTATGCATAAATCATTTGGACTTAATGGATCCACATTTTCACTCATATTTTATTAAAATCCTTTGCCACGGGCTGCAGTTAGGTAACTAAGCATACATTAGTCAGAGAGTTGAAAACATTAGAGCCAGGTAGCTGAGGTAACTTTGCAAGATGAGGTCATTTTTTCCTCCAGCACCAGATGGGTGCTGCAGGTGGGAACCGTAACACTTTGATCTCTTCCATATGACTCGGAAAGAAAATTAGAGGTTAATGTTGACATTTGTTTTAACTTGTAAATGAAATATTTTATAGTAAAAATCACTGTTCAATTGTAAGCTACTGTGAAATGAAACCCTTGTCAGCATGCTGTCTTTTTGTGCAGCTGTCAAGTTAAAAATTCGAACTCTAAAATAGAAAATAATATGAAAAATTCAACTCTGTATCTGAAACAAAAGAAAGTCATTTTTTTCCCCTTAGCTGGCAAATTTTTGTGAACAGTGATGGTACAGTGACACGTTTTGGTTTGTAGCTCATGGAATTATTCTCACACTTTCCTATCTGAGAACACAGTTAATCTACTGCCCTGCCTCAACGGATTCAGTATTTCTGTTGTGTCACCTTTGTGACTCTCAGTTGGCAAGTATTGCAGTACATTTGGATTCACATATACCCGGGTCGGTTAGAATGTAGAGATGCGCACACCTGGCTAGAAAAGTCTCAGACACAAAGGCCGGGCCTCGCTGGAGGCCTGGGTGTGCGAGCAGCATGTCTACAGGGAAAAGGTGTGTTCTCATGTCAGAGTTTTTCCACTGTGGGTATGAATAATCCGTGTAGACTGCCAATTCAGTGTTCCAAATCAATGATGGCTGTTGACAATAGCAAACCACACAGGTGAGCCTTCCCACGCATCATCATACTTGGCAGCCGGCAGTCATCCTGCTGTGCCTTTGAAGAAGCCCGATCGGGGGCTGTAAGTTAAGGGGGCATAATATTGAGTTCTTTCTATACGTCAGACACTGCTAGGTGCCTTATAAAGAGTAGCCTATTTAATCCTTACCACAGCTTTCAGAAGAAGATTTCTGTTCTCACTTTATAGGTAAGGAATTTGAAGCTCAAAAAGATTAAGCAACCTATTCAAGGTTACATAGATAGTAAGTGGTGGATCTAGTATTAAAACATGTCTGCCTGTGTCACTCATCCATCTTATCTATTTCTTCACTTGACAAGGATTTGTTGTGCATCTGTCATGCTGGGGGTGAAATACAGGGACACACAAGAATAACATCACCCCCAGTCTCACGGAGTTCCCAGCTATTCTAACAAATTACAAAGGTTATGTTCTTTCTGCCATACCCAACTAATACACCGACTGAAGGGTAGGCAGTTGTTTTTTAGAGATTAGTGGAAAAATGAAAGATAAAAGAAAATTTGTTAAAGACTATTTGAAAAGAAGTACTTTAGTACCCGTGTCCAATCTCTGGAGTATTCCTGTTTACTATCAAACTACCTGAACAGTGGGCCTAATTTCCACTTTTAAAAAAATATTATTTTTGATAATTTTTTATTACTAGATGCAAAAGCAATTAATAGCTGATGAACAGTTACTGTTAATAAGAATGCATTATTATTATTATTATTATTATTATTATTATCTTTTACTTATAAACCTCTTAACCATTTAAAAAATACTTTAATGTGTGTTTCTATTCGCTCTTTATGACAGCCCTGGCCAAGCCTGATTCCTTTGGATCCAGATTTCTTGGTGCTCGTAGAAAGCAGTTCTTTTGCTTTGTCTTAATTTTTTCAAAAGTAACATGGATTGAGCAGCTGCTATCGGTAGTGCATTCTGCCAAACACTGTGGAGAAATAAAATGATTTAAAAAGTTCAGTCATTGCTCTTAAAGAAGCTTGATCGGGGCCACAGATAGATAACATGAGGGAGTGAGCCTCACCGTTTGGGGTGGGCTAACCCTGCACCTGGGCTACACACAGAATTCAAGAATCCAATTGATGAAGGACGTCGCGGAATTGTGGTGGATGTGAGGTGGAAAATCAGTCTGGGTGCCTAATCTTGAGTAAACACCAGTAGAGGGGCCAAGACAAGAGTTTATTTACTTCTCTCACATCTCTTTTTGAAACAGGTATTTCTTACTAGCTAAGCAACACAATGGAAACCCCAGCGAAAGCAAGTAAAAAGGATACCCAAGATGGGCTGCCGAGAGAAGAGAGATTGTCCATCAGTGAAGCACTTCTACACTATCAGTAAGCGTGGCTTGTAAAAAATCCAGCGGTTTCCGGTTTCTGTGTGTGAATGGCCATCGTCATCATTAAGAATCACGTAAAAGCTGTCCAGGGAGCCGGGCTGCAGGGGGTTGGAGGCGGAATTGCACTCTTGCGCTAAGTGCCTATTGTTAACAGTTTGGGAAACTTGGACTGTCACGTAGCCCGAGCAGTAGCTATGGAACAGCACTCATCGATGTGGTTTTAGCTCCCTCCCTCCCTCCTGTTTTATTGGTCACTTTCCCGTATACACACAACATGCAAGTTAGCATACATTCACAGAAGAGTAAACGAGGAAACGTTTCTTCTTTATTTAACTTTTCATTTCCAGACATTCCAATTTGCATTCTCTCCAAATAGCTACAGATCAAATACAAACGATTTGGCATTATTTTTAGTAAGAATAATATTTTTTAATGTTTCCCTCCCAGGAGCTGGAGACAAAACTAGAGGTCACACCTACTCTGTGTTCATGTTGTACCCGACCAGTGGGAACTGAGCCCCTTGGCAGCTTTTGAACCCCAGCCTTGGCACAGGGTGGGTGTTTTTATGTGTAATTCTTAGGGAGTGAATGAATGATTATAGGTCAGTCTCTTTCCAAATAAGAATGTACTTCATTCATGCATTCGTTGAACTAATACTTGAATGTTTGCCAAGAAGGAGGCAAATGCTGGGTACTAGGTGACAACAGTGAACAGGTCCCTGTCTGATGAAGCATGAGAGACAGACATTAGATAACTAATTCAAGCTTTTTAAAAAAAAAAAATACACACACATAATTAAGGTGCAATGAAAGAAAAGAGTGGGGTGATACAGAGGGGTCAGGGAAAGCTCATTTTAAGAAGCAATGTTTCAGCTGATGTCTGGGAGAGGAACGGGTGTTATGGAGACAGAGCGGTAGAGAGAAGGCTTATGGGAAAGACACGGGTGAGGAAGTGCTTGTTCCAGTCCAGGAAACAAGAGAAGGCAGGGTGAGGGCAAGAGGGCAAGCGCAGACTCGGATGCCCCTGGCAAGTGTCAGGTGAGCAGGGCCCTGTGGGGCCCTTGGGATTTGGGAATGGCAAGCCATTTGCTGGAGGGGACAAGGTGGGAAGTGGGGAACCTGTGACAGTGGTGACTAGGTCTTTGTTTGAGGGAATTATTTTTAATTCAGGGAAACTTCATCTGCTTCTTGAGAGACTACGAGAGAAAGACCCATGGAAAGGGACCTTTCACAAGGTTCCCTTTTATTTTCTGCTTGACATAACTTTAATAACCAGATACTACCAGCACTCACTTCTCAACCTAACTGCAAAGCTTCCTCATCTCGTCTTAGGAGAGATGGACAGAAACTCAGCCTCTGTGACTACAACCTGGTCTCTAATGTGCTTCCTCCCCACCTTACAGTGACAACGTCCAATCACAACTGTTTCTCTCTCTTCTGGGTCAACCAGAGGCCAGTCTTTCTCCTATGTCACAGAGGTTTACAAAGAGGCAACACTGAAAAATTCTCATAATGTAGCAACACTGAAAAATTCTCATAATGTTGCCCCGATAGAAATTAAACATCCCATGCTTTTGTTCTCTTTGCTTTGTAAAAACTGAATAAATAATCTCATGGCCTGGAACAGCCAAGGCCTCACTGCTAGGGACACTGTATCATTCCAGGTGTTCCTAGGTGACAGAAGTTTTGTCACGTGACAGATCACCAGGACGTCCCCTCATTCTCTGAGAGAGGATTCTTCCAGGGTCCCCCAGCAACCTCTAACATTTCTCATACACAATCTCAGCTCCTAACAACAAGCTGAGAGCACATAGTAGGCAGTCAATGATTTCTGAACAATTGAACTTTTTTTTAATATATTCCAAGAAAATAAGGTCATGAACTTCCATGGTTATTTGTGAAGATCTGAGACTGTTAATGATAAACCTATAAGGTGACCAGCTCTGGGCAATGATGGTTTTTATTTTCTCCTTATATTTGTCTCCCCTCACTCCCCAGTTTTCCACAAAGAGTATGGATATAGATATAGAAAGAGATGTGTATATTATTATGGGGCGGGGGAGGGGGGGGAGAGAGACAGAGAGAGAGAGAGGGAGAAAAGTATAGAACTTTTTGTTTGAGGGAATTATTTTTAATTCAGGGAATTAAATTTATTTTCCTTCGCAGAACTCTCAATAAAATTGCATAGAGGGAGAAAGAGGACACATTGCTAACATTTTAAAAATACAGGGAGGGAAGAGAAAAGGTGACATTCTGTATACTAAGAATTTCACATCATTGTGCTTTAGAGTAATAGTGCTATATAGCCTTTTAATTCTCTTTAATATGTCCTACCTCACTAATTTATTATCCCACTTTTTTCAGCATTTAGTGTGCCATGTGGGTCACTAGGGCACTGAGTAGATGAGGGAGATATGAAAAGGAAGAAGTACAGAGAACGGTGAAGCTTGAATTCCCACAGTGGCTCACAGCGTGGAGTCCTGAAGCTCAAATCCATCTCTCTGTGGGGCCTGACAACATGGAAGTGAATTCCAAGGAGAGTCTAGGCCAGTGATGGCGAACCTTTTGAGCTCGGCGTGTCAGCATTTTGAAAAACCCTAACTTAACTCTGGTGCCGTGTCACATATAGAAATTTTTTGATATTTGCAACCATAGTAAAACAAAGATTTATATTTTTGATATTTATTTTATATATTTAAATGCCATTTAACAAAGAAAAATCAACCAAAAAAATGAGTTCGCATGTCACCTCTGACACGCGTGTCATAGGTTCGCCATCACTGGTCTAGGCCAGCCGTGGGTAAACTACGACCCACGGGCCGGATCCGGCCCATTGGAAATGAATAAAACTAAAAAAAAAAAAAAGACCGTACCCTTTTATGTAATGATGTTTACTTTGAATTTATATTAGTTCACACAAACACTCCATCCATGCTTTTGTTCCGGCCCTCCCGTCCAGTTTAAGAACCCATTGTGGCCCTCGAGTCAAAAAGTTTGCCCACCCCTGGTAAGGAGGGGGGCGATGATGCCGCCAAAACCTTCGGGGCATCTCAGAATTCCCCTGCAGATCTTTCTGAACTGCTCACTGCAGAAGGAACACAAGACAAAGCCCTCGGTTGCTTGCTCCTCTCTTCTCTGAGGGGAGGAATGGTAGGCTTAAGTGTAGGGTGGCCAGATGCAGCAAATGAAAATACAGAGGCTCAATTTAATTTGAATGTCAGGTAAACAACAATTTTTTTTTTAGTACAAGTGTGTCCCATGCAATATCTGGGGTTGGGGCTGAATGTAATCTCCAGTTTGCTCTTTGCATGCTCAGTCACCTTCAAGGTAGGCTCTCAGTCTCACACCAATGGAGACCACATACTTGGTGCCCATTTCCCTGCTCCACCCATGCAGAGAACTAGGATTACCATATTATAATTGCACAAATGTGAATAATTAGCATAGGCTCTTTCCGATCATTTTCATTGATAACATTTCTATTTTTCTCCTTAAAAATGGGAGGTAGAAAAGGCACTCTTTCAAAATCGTACATCTAAGCTTTAGGTAAGAAGTAAAAGATGGCTTATACATCCCAATAGCTTTATTTCAAACTATTGTGTGGAGACCACCGTATCTATAGTAGTGTTTTCACTTACTATTGTTCTCATATCCTGTTATTTCCCCCATAGCATTTATCACAATATGTAAATAATATGTTTGTGTATTACTTTGTTGTCTAGTAGAATGTAAGCTCTTTGAAGGCCAGTATCATAAGGACATTCATTGTTCGCCACTGTCTCTATACAGCCCAAATCAATGCTGGGCACATGGAGGCTACTCATTAAATCTCCATTATACTAGTCTGTACGACTGACTGCATGAAAGGCAACACTGATCAACTTAAATTGTAGAATCTTGGGACTGACAAGGAATGATGGCGTTCATCTCCTTCAATTCTCTTATTTATAGAAGAGCAAGCCGAGGCCTAAACAGGTTAAGAGGCAGTTAGTGGAGGCCAAGCCTAAAATCCAAGGTTCATAGTATCTAAACAGAGCTTTTATGCCACTAAAGGATTTGCTTGTTTTGTTTTTATGTCCCATTTTCTCATCATTTGGAAAGAAGGAACCTTATTTTTCTCTCTACTATGTATACAATGTCACAAATATAAATGATCATTTGGAGGAAGGGTTGAGGAAGTTAGATTCAATTCAACTGAAATTTACTACGTACTTTATGTCAGAAACATTCACATATGATTTCTTATTTTAACCCCTTATAAAAATATGTAGAGCTGGGTATTGGCCTCCATTCACAGCTTGGAAATTGAGTCTCAGAGAACTGACTTGCCTGCGGGCAGATAGGTAAGAAGTGGTAGGGACAAGATTGAAAACCAGAGTTCCTCATCCATTAACCACGCCCCTCTCTGTTCACTACACCACAGAACTGCTATATTCTGTGTGTTTTTTAAGTTGAGGTAAGGAGGTTATATAGAGCTATTTCTGAGGCCTTATTTTGGTCTCATCTATAAAGTTAAAAGTTTTACTAAGTAACAGAGATATCAAGATATACTTAACACTTCAAATAGCCATCAAATGGCCAAAGTCTTTCTGCACTTTTCTCTCTTTCATACTTAGCAGATGCTCAACAAATTCTTGTGGGTGTTAAAAAAAAAAGTATGTGGCCCTAACCAGTTTGGCTCAGTGGATAGAGCGTCAGCCTGCGGACTGAAAGGTCCCAGGTTTAATTCTGGTCAAGGGCATGTGCCTTGGTTGCAGGCACATCCCCAGTAGGAGGTGTGCAGGAGGCAGCTGATCGATGTTTCTCTCCCATCGATGTTTCTAACTCTCTATCCCTCTCCCTTCCTCTCTGTAAAAAATCAATAAAATATATATTTTTAAAAATGTATGTGTCAGGAAAGAAGCTTTTATTATTTATAGAAGAGATGACATACTAATGAACTTGAACCAATAGGTATGCCTCGTTTACCTTTCCATTTCAAGAAGATGGGCATGCCTTATAAAGTCTTTGTTTTGTCATTTTTATCTGAATGTTTTTAGAATTCTAGAAATCATGTTTTAAGTGTGCCCTTTCTAGGGTCTCTTAAAGCTGAATTATTTAAAGGTAGTTAGAAAGCATCAAAATTACTACTATGAAATACAAATGGTGATTGATTTTAAAAACTGAAGTTATCTCTATCTTTTACTGAGTAAAATATACCCAGAAACACAAAACCACTTAAGAGAGGTTCTTATCCCTACATGGGTTTTTATAATCTATTTAACACTTTATTTCTTTTGAACTTTTCAATTTTGACTCACTAATTTTTCCTAAGATAAGTAATTGTAACAAATGTTATCTTGGTTTATTACCAGCTTGCAAATAAAGGAGAATATAGTAGAACGATTGATGGTGCAGATAAAAAATCTTAGAGAAAAGAACCAAAAGTCTCATGACAGAGTGAGTATAAGATTTAAAGCCTATTTATAGTCATTAAACATTTACACAAATGCTTTAAAAATTTTTGAGTTATGAAATGTACCCTAGGAAATTATCTTACTTAGTGCTTATAATTGGTTAATTTACAATCTATTTAAGTGTGGTTTTTTTGTACATGGGAGGCAAGAGGGTATTGCTGTTCCTATTATATTAATTGCAATGTCAAAGGAAGTCCATTTGAATTTTGTTATTTAAATATGTTTTTAGTGATTTTTAGAGATAGAGGAAGGGAGAGGGATAGAGAGATAGAAACATCGATGAGAAACTTCATCTGTTGGCTGCCTCCTGCACGCCTCTTACTGGGGATTGAACCTGCAACCCAGTCATATGCCCTGACCAGGAATCAAACCGGTGACCTCTTGGTTCATGGGTCAATGCTCATCCACTGAGCCACACCGGCCAGGCTGAATTGTGTTATTTAGATCATGAGGATGCCGAGTGTTAGGTTAAAAATTTTAAAGTTCTGAAACCACATTAATCTTCTAATTTCTTCTTTAACCTAAACATTGTTTCTCTATTTTTAATTTCTGTATCTGTTTTCCTTTAGATTTTTTAGACTGTGAATATGTAAATATTATTTGAAAAGTACAATCTTAGTTGCTAAAATGACTAATTTAATGTTTAAGACTATTTGTTGTTGTTTTTTAAATCAGATGAAAATGAATATCCAAGAGGTGCTGTATGCAACTATACGAACTAAAGACGAACAGAAATAAAGTTTGAAAGCAGTAAATGGTCATTAAACTTATCCCATAAAGCATCTCATGAATGGCGAAATACTGAGGGTGTCCCCTATTAAAACATTAACTTTATGGGGACCCTGAAACTTCCACACTGAAATGTTATTTGAGGAGGGGGGCTTTTGTCTAAAAAAGACTATCTACAAATTTTTAAATATATATTTTTATTGATTTCAGAATGGAAGGGAGAGGGAGAGAGAGAAACATCAGTGATGAGAGAGAATTATTGATCAGCTGCCTCTTGCACACCCCCCTCCAGGGATCGAGCTGCAACTGAATTGAACCGTGACCTCCTGGTTCATAGGTCAATGCTCAACCACTGAGCACACCAGTCGGGCTAAATGTAATTTTCTATCCAATGGTTACTGGGGTTAATTTTAAGTCTCCCATATTCCATAAACTTTTAAAGATATTATTGTATACCTTATTTAATTAAATATTTCTTTCTCACTTTGTAAGCCTCTATTTTGAGGAAAATCCGTGTAAACACTTCAGCAGATGTACTTGATTACTGTTGTTTTTCATGACAGAACGGACGCTTAAAGGATGAACAGATTTGGCACATACGGAACCTACTAAAGGAACTGAGTGAAGAGAAGTCGGAAGGATTAAAAGTAACAAGAGAGGATGTCGAAACAGCAATGAAAGAGAAGTGGAAGTTTGAAAGAGACCAGGAACAAAACTTAAAAGGTGATGTACGAACTCGGAAGTTTACCATAAAGCTGAATCAAGTTTATGTCTTGAATGTATTAACGCTGCTGTTTCCTAACATATCAAAAATGCTGTGACCATATTTCGGAGGATATCATTATCACCACAACTACAAACACATGGAGGTAAAGGAACAGGAGAGGGAAGTCACAGAGTGGGCAGAGAGCTGGAACCAAGTGAGGAGGAGGAGGAAGGGCAGGGATGAAAACCAAAGACACATGAAAACCCTCTGACGCTCACACACTGGACGGTATCCTGGCAGACGCCACTCTGAACTCCTCACAGTGGGGGGTCTGTCCTTTCTGTTGGGGAATTCTCTTGCTTGGTGGCCTCATTGGCTTCTGCCTCAGTTCAGAGACGGGAATGATAAGGTGAATATAACCATGAAGCTTCCCCCGACCACTATCTCTACCGAGCCCAGCCCCACCTCACCCCCATTTAGATGGGCAAAGAGGGATTCGCGTGGGAAAAGAGGCAGTGTGGAGGACAGGCGCAGAATCTGAAGGACCCAGGACATACTCTTGCCATGGGCTTAGGAAATACCATGATCCTGGGGGTAAGTTACACACACAGTTTTGACACTTGTATTTTTTTTTTAATTCCTATTCCATAATCCCAAACTTGCTGCTAGGATTTCTAAAACTACTTTAGCCAGGGCCCTATCAGCACCACCTCTGCTAGGACGCTGGAAAGCATGGGCAAGAGACTTGAGTGCTATCAGGAAGCAGTACTGGAAGCTGGGACTAGAAGGTCCTGCATTTCCCCGTGTGTCCCAAGCACTTGGCACAGAGCAGGCATGCCTTCAAAGAGAATTTGCTGGTTTGAACGAAACAGTTACCAAAAGCAAACATTAACCAGCAAACTTCATTCTTGGGGGTCTCCAAAACTGTCCCCATCCACCTCCTCCTACCCCCGTTCTTTCTGGGCAACAATGACGTCATGAGGTGGTAGGTGTGTATGGCGCAGGGCTCCTCTCCAGGAAAGTGTTGCTTATGTTTGGAAGGAATCCTTTCGTCAGTCCCTTGAGATGGGAGTGAGACCAAAACAGCTCCTCTGATGTGCTCACTGAGCGGCCTCCACAGGGAACGGGCCCAGTGACTTGAGGTGTGCCTGCTTCGGGTTTGGGCTGAGTGCCGGGCGTGTATGTCATGCAAGGCTGGGGCCCAGCTGGATGCCTGAGCACAGCAGAGGAGGACAACGTGCGTGCCGTCCAAGGAAGAAAGCCGCCCACAGAAGCCGAGGAAGAAAGGGGGAGAGAGCAGGTGTGTCTGTTACGTACAGGTGATCACTGGCCACTGGGCTGGTTTGTGGAGCAGCAGCCATACCTTCAGCTTGTTTCCATGCAGAACCTCAGACCCGTCCAGACCTACTGAATCGGAACCTGCATTTTGACAAGGTCCTAGGACAGTGATAGTGAACCTCTGACACGCTAACTCATTTTTTTGGTTGATTTTTCTTTGTTAAATGGCATTTAAATATATAAAATAAATATCAAAAATATAAGTCTTTGTTTTACTATGGTTGCAAATGTCAAAAAATTTCTATATGTGACACGGCACCAGAGTTAAGTTAGGGTTTTTCAAAATGCTGACACGCCGAGCTCAAAAGGTTCACCATCACTGCCCTAAGGAGATTCCTACACACGGTGAGGCTTGAGAAGCACTGATGTAACGCCTTCCTTCCAACTTTAGTTAGGACTCTTTCAGTTACCAGGATAAAAATCTAACCCAAACTTGCTTAAACATAAAGAAGATGATCATTCTTTTTCAGATAACCAAGCAGAAAAGGCAGGTGCCCCAGAGCCTCACATGCTCTCAGATCTCAGCTCTTATATAAAAAAAAATCTCCCTCTCCCCTCCCTACCTCCCCTCCCCTCTCTTCTTCTTTCGCCCTCCCCACCTCCTTCATCCCTGTGCTCTCCCTGTCATGTTGTCCCCATGAGGCTGGCACTCAAATCATAGACACCTCTGATCTTACATCCTTATAACCTCAGAATGGAGACGAGAGACACGTTTTCCACCAGTTTCAGTAAAAATATTTCTCTGAAGGACTCAGCATGTGCCTAGCTTGGGACACATGCCCACTCCGGGACCCATCCCTGTGGTCAGGAGAAGGGGCCACTATAATTGGCCTACATACAGGGTGGGGCAGAAGTAGGTTTTCAGTTGTGAGTATGTGAAACATAGTTTATTTCTTGAACTTTTACTTATTATTGTAGCATTTTTCAGACAAACAACTTTATTTGACAAGGAGTAGGAAAAGGGTGTTACCAGAAGGGAAGTGAAGAGGGTTCTGGGAAAGTAGAGTAACGTGATGCCAACCCGCACCCCCCCCAAAAGCCAAATGTGGCACAAGGGCTGAGCCGGCAATCATCTGCTCAAATGAGAGGACGCTGACCATCGGGGTTAGAGGAGGCTTAACTGTTAAATGGCAATAGCAAGTGCCGTTTATGAAGGGGTGTCAAAATCTATGATCTTACATCTTTGGAAGAAGATATGTCTGGAGTCCTCCTGGACCTCAGGACTGAAGAACAGCCCTCCCGCCTGACTGGAATGCATCTGTCATTCCATAAGCATCTACTGAGCCCCAACTACGTGCCAGACTCTTGCTAAGAGCTGGGCTTACAGAGACGAGTTGAGAGGGTTAGCTGCCGTCAGGAGCTCTCAGAGATGAGGGAGAGGTGGTACTGCCCGCAAGGAGCTCTCAGACAAGAGGGTGTGTGGTAGTGAGCTGCGTAGCCATTACGTCACGGCACCTGCCTCTCTGTAATGCTTCCTTTTCCAAAATATCCAGCAGCACAATATTCAGCCTGAAGACTCAGTGGCACATCATGCTTAGCAAGTGCACCAGGACCAACGGAACACTTACATAGTTGAGATGGCTCAGTGTCTGTACCTATTTAACTGGGGAACATATCTTTCACTCTGAAGTCTTATAAGTGGGTTTGGGGGAAACTTGTTGTTATGACTATCATACACTATCATTTCACACAAATGAACTTGAGATGACAGGCTAAACAACTCACTTATAGAAATGGTTCCCAAGGACGATGGAATAATACAGGGTGAAATCACTTTGCCCAGAGGCATAATGGGCAGAAAAATGACAATTTACTAATAAAAAAAAAAGTGTGGGACATCATATATTGTACAAGAGGAATAATTTAAACTTGGGGGTTTCTAGGCATATAGTTTAATTGTCTATTATAGCCCCAAACCAAACATCTACTTTAGAATTGAAATTTTAATTTTAGATTTTGAATCATGAGGGATAGTTAAATGATAGTTTGAATAGTTTAGAGTTCCTATATATAAAATAGGATTTATGAGATAACAGCATTTTAATATCAGATTCATCCAATCAGATGGCAGCATATAATGGTGGCAAGGACAGCAGAAATGACATGGTGTTTTGATTTTCTTTCAACAGATATGCGCTTGCAAATAAGTAATGCTGAGAAACTATTTCTTGAGAAACTCAGTGAGAAGGAATATTGGGAAGAGTACAAGAATGTAGGGAGTGCACAACATGCTAAACTCATTATCTCCTTACAAAATGACATCAATAAAGTGAAAGAGAATGCGGAGAAAATGTCAGGTCAGTTGCAACAAAACCAGTTCAAGTTCAGTAAAAAGACTTTAGAGGGCAGACATTTGATGGGGGAAAAAAAATGGGTAATCCCTGAACCATCCATTCCTCTCCCCTGGGTCAGCACCAGCAGCTTGAGCCCCAGGGCAGAAGTGGAGGAGGAAACAGAAAAACTATCCCAGGACCACCTAAGAAACTGCGGAGGGGAAGAAAAGGGAGGGGAGGTGGGGTGGAGAAACCCTGCCAGCAACCAAAGAAGTGTCATTCAAGGACGAAGTTTCATTCAGTGGGTGGTGTCTGTGCTCCCACACACCAGGCTGGGGTAAGTTCAGTGAGGCAGGAGCATGCTGGGGTCGGGTTATGTTGGAAAGGAAATCCACCTGAGGTAAACTAAAGCAGCCTCAAGCAAATGCTAAGTTGTAGTCAGAAAACACTGGAGAACAAACACGACACAGAAGTGGAGAGGGTATGGAGCAGGATGACGTTAGGCGTGAGGATGCACCAGGACTAGCTCTGGGGAACATGAGGCCACCTCACCTGTCTGTCGCTGCAACTAGCAGAGTGGCTTAAAGGGACACCAGAGACCCCGAGACAGGAAAGTCACAGGAAAGAACAAGTGGGAGAAAGCTGGCCTGAAGGAATGCAGTGGGTGGATGGCAGTTCTGAGCCCAGCTGGAGATGGTGCCCAGCATGGTAGCGGGTTCACGTGAGGTCGTTGCCATCATCCTCTGCTGAGGGCCTGTCCAGACACTCTGCTTCTAGACTAATTTCCATGTAAGTTTCCCAGCTCAGGGCCTCAGGTGGTATAACTGTGGCCCCAGGTTAGTCTGGGCTTGGAATTACACTTTTCCAAAAGGTTCTCCTCCCAAAAGAAAAGTACAGAGTGTGACACCTTCCTCCCTCCTGTCTGTTTCCCCCGCCACTCAGTCCTCTCTCGAGATAAAACCACTGTCACCAGTTTCCTAACGTAGCCTTTCAGGAATATTATATACACAAACAGCATGCTACGAGTGTGACTTTTCATGCAACAATGTGGACATCATTCTAGATCAGTACATATTAGTACCTCCTCATTCTCCCAATGGCTGTTTGGTCTTTTTGTACTATAATTTTTTAACCTACTGATACAGATTTGGGTTGTTTCCTGCTTTTTACTATTACAAATAATGCTGCAATGAATATCCTTGTACATATCTCATTTTACTGTGATCAGTATTCTTGTAGTCATGTGATTTCATTTATGTGTCTCTCTAAAGAGAAATGGCTGGCCCAACAGCCCATTTATTTTTATTTTGAGAGGCCTGGCCCTCCATAGAAGTTGTACTAAGTTTTCCCACATTTTCAATAATGGGCAATATTATCCAACTTTTTGTTCGTCAGCCTTAAAAGTAGAAAATTGGCCCAGCTGGTGTGGCTCAATGGTTGAGCGTTGAACTACGAACCAGGAGGCCACAGTTCGATTCCTGGTCAGGCCACATGCCCAGGTTTCAGGTTCAATCCCCAGTGTGGGGCATGCAGGAGGCATCCATTCAATGATTCTCTCCCATCATTGATGTTTCTATCTCTCTCCCTCTCCCTTCCTCTCTGAAATCAATTAAAAATATATATGTTTTTAAAAAGTAGAAAGCTGTATCTCACTATAGCTTTAATTTACATTTCTCTTATTATGAGCACTAATGAATATCTTTTCATAAGTTCAAGAAGCATATGAATTTTCTTTCATATGAACCAGTTCACACCCTTTGCCCACTTTCTATTGTGTAGTGAAACATTTTCCATTGTTAAGGAAATTAGCTCTTTAACAGTGATATAAGGTACAAATATTTTTCCCATTTGCCTTTTATTTTTGAGGTGTCTATGAGAAAATTTTGTAGTTTAATATTTAAATCTTTGACTTGTGTTTTGTGTGTGTGTGAGAGGTAGGAAATTTTTTGCCAGATGATTTTCCAGCTGTCCCAACATCATTTATCAAGTAATCCATTTTTACCCTAATGATCTGAGATGTGAACTTCATCATATTTTAATTTCCCGTGTGTATTTGGAGATCTTTCTGTACTTTCTATTCTGTTCCATTGATTTGTCTATGTATTTGTGCACCAGTGCTATACTTCTAAAATAGTTCTTTTTCTAGCATGTTTAAAATGTTTTAAAATTGTATCCAGCATTTCTTTATATTTTTAAAGCAGAAAGAGTGATTTTCTCATATAAACTAAACTCATTATCTTTTTTGAAATTTATCTTTATTGTTGAAAATATTACAGATGTCCCCTTTCTTTTTCCCATTGGCCCCTTTCACTCCCAGCCCACATGCCTGATCATGTTACCTGTGTCCATCAACCATTATCTTGATTAGACATTTGGATGATTTGTTTCAGCTAAAAATTGTCATTGCTTGAGGTAGTATCAGTCAAGTGAGAGCTCTCCTGCCCCTTGCTATGCTCCCCTACAGCCCTAGGGGAGGAGCTACAGAAGTTCAGGTCAGAGGAAATGGTAGAAGGTCCAAGCTAAGGAGAGAATAGCCATAACTCTGAATGAAATTGAAAGTTTGATTATTATATATATAAAAAAACTGAACATATTGATTAGTGCTTGAAGGACCTCTTATTTTCACAAAGGAACCAGAAAAGTTATAGGATTTTCCATGTATCTTACTAAGACAGAACTACTAGCCTCCTAGCATGAATTTTAAAGGGAAGAGACGAAAATCAGGTTGCTTGATGTCCCATGATCACTATAGTGAGGAATGGGAAGACTGAAGATGGAAAGTGAAGGCCATCGGATCAGTGGTGGCCCTAGGATGGCTCCTCCCTACATTTACCTCTCGTCTGTGACTCCCTCTCAGGGCACCTCTGCTATGCTCTGTGTGCTTGTCCCGTTCTCTCCTTGCTTCCCACAGATCAATTTTGCAGTATTCTCCAGCCCAGGCTCTGAAGAGAGCTAATCAGAGATTTGTTCATGTCTCCTCGTGGGTCGTTGCTCAGACCCAGCACAAACCATCCTTGGTCCGCTGTCCCACCCTGACTCATTCAGCAGCCACACTGAGCCCTGGGGCAGAGGAGAAAGAAGCGCCTCGAGCTGCTGCCCTGAGCTTTAGCTAGGAGGAGATATTAGGATATTGGTACCGAAACACAGTGACTGATTATTCAGGACATGGCTCCTTCGCACAATAAAAGGAAAGGAAAGCTGAGGTAGGCCCAGGAATAGAGAAAGTGTGGGTTATTACCCGTCATTAGATGTTAGGGTCACAGATCATTTTGACTTTTGTCCTTCCAGGTGCACAGGACAGGGAGCCATACAAGTTCTTTGTGAGTTAAAAGACGAGGGTTCAGGTCCACTTACAAAAAAGTAACATTCCTTCTTTGAATGTCAGTTTCCTCATCGGTAACCTGAGAGTCCCTCAGTGACCTCCAAGAGCATTCACAGTCCCAGCACCTGCTTTTCTACATCTTATCGCCTCTAGCCCTTACAAGCTCCTCTGGGTTGGATATCACTATGCCGGTTTAAAGATGAGGAAAGAGATGCCCAGAGGAGTTCATTGTCTTTACCAAACTCACAAGCTCAGTAAGTAGTAGAAATGAGATTTGAACCCATGTGTGTGACACCAAGCCAATGTGCTTCAAGTAGTCCTCCCAGCGCCGAGGCAGGGAGGCAGGGGCAGCTCTGTAACGCGCTGTGCCTGAAGAAACACTCCAGGGCTGGTGCTGCTCGGTTTTCTCCAGATGGGGCTGAAAGGAGGCCACCACCACGGGGGAGGATCAGCACACTAAAGGGGTATGACACCAGAAGTATGTGAAGAGTAGACAGCCAACTCCCAAAAAGCTGTGGAGGAGTCAGCCGAAGCTGAGCTAGACACAACAGAGAAAGGAGGAAATGCAAAGCACGCCTCGGCCAGGCAGTCAGCTTGTGAGAAGTGACCACATTACACTGGGCACCTGAGCAGCCAGCAGCCCGAAGGCACAAGGTCACAGTCTCCCACGCTCCCACTGGCGACGTCTCACACTTTTATGAGGAGACTTTCACACACGCCCAGCTCCTTTGGCTGTATTCACACATGAGTGGTTAAGAGTTGTTATCTGATCTTCTGAATCGCAAAGGGTAACGACGAGGTTTCACATCCTCCCTTCTGCAGGGTTAACTCTGCTTTTAAGAAGAAAAGCAGCCCACACAATTTTATACGGAATTTGAAACAGAGTTTGGATGTTATTACTGCTTTTTCAGTACAAATATGGCAACAGAGAGAGCTACAACTTTAGTCAGAGAGTATTCAGTCATCTCTTTTTTATTATTTACAGCAAAGAATTAATATTTCATGTTATCAAGCTCCTGGTTGTATGGTTTCTTTTATTTCTTTTATTTATTTTATTTTTTAATTTATTTCAGAGAGGAAGGGAGAGGGAGAGAGAGATAGAAACATCAATGATGAGAGAGAATCATTGATTGGTTGCCTCCTGCACGCCCCACACTGGGGATCGAGCCCGCAACTTGGGCATGTGCCCTTGACCAGAATCGAACCTGTGACTGAGCCAAACCAGCCAGGGCTGTATGGTTTCTTTTAAATGCTAAGTCTGTAAAATTATTACGGCTAGCCTCCTGATACATGGCAACTTTTAGACTGATGTTAGTGTTTTGTTGGGTGGACGTTTCAAAAATACCCAGAATTAGTCTAATGGACTACGTCCTGAATTGAAAAAGAGATTCCATCAGAAATGAGGTTGGAAAGATTAATATACTCAAGCAATTACTTCAAATGAGTAAGAAAAATACAGATTTTAGCGATGAGCACCTGTAGGCTGGAAGAATGAAAACTTCCATTTCTCACCCTCCAGATGTCAAATTAGACTAGTCCCCAAAATCTTACGAACCCTCTTGTTTATAAACCGCTGTCTCATCAGACACTCTTGTTCCAACTCCATTAGAGGCAAACCCTGACCATTGCGGCCCCCGACGGCCCCTCCCCTCTCACCAAAGCTGCCCCCTCCTCCCTGCTGACGGCCCCTCCCCTCTCACCAAAGCTGCCACTGACAGATGCCATGATTTGGGGCTGCTGTCCTGCGCTGCAGCCTCAGATCCCTGCCTGCCAAACACGGGCAGTTTGCCCAATTTAATTTTCTTCAAAATATTTTTAATATCTGCTGAGTCCCAGGGATTGCAGTAATAGAAAGATGAGGAAGAGAAGTGTTTACACTCTGCCTTCAGCGTTTTCCTCTGTTAGGAGACGCAGTTCTTCCAGTACTAAGTCCAAATGGTACTAAGTCCCGCCCAGCCCCGCGGCTCCCTCTCCAAACTACTGAAAGAGCAGATCTGCAGTTCCATCCATGCTGTTGCAAATGGTAAGAATTCCTTCTTTTTTACAGCAGCATAGTATTCCATCGTGTAGATGTACCACAGTTTTCTAATCCACTCATCTGCTGATGGGCACTTAGGCTGTTTCCAAATCTTAGCTATGGTAAATTGTGCTGCTATGAACATAGGGATGCATATATCCTTTCTGATTGTTTTTTCTGGTTTCTTGGGATATATTCCTAGCAGTGGGATCAATGGGTCAAATGGGAGTTCCATTTTTAACTTTTTGAGGAAACTCCATACTGTCTTCCATAGTGGCTTACCATTTGCAACAGCATGGATAGAACTAGAGAGCATTATGCTAAGTGAAATAAGCCAGTCAGTGAAAGAAAAATACCACATGATCTCACTCATTTATGGATAATAAAGACCATTATAAACTGATGAACAAAAATAGATACAGAGGCAGAGCAGCATTAAACAGACTGTCAAACTACAGCAGGAAGGCTGGGGAGGGTTGTGGGAAGGGGGGGTAAGAGATCAACCAAAGGACTTGTATGCATGCATATAAGCATAACCAATAGACACAGGACACTGGGGGGTAGGGGAGGCTGGGGGAAGGTCAAGAGGGAAAAAAAGGAGACAAATGTAATACTCTTTGTAATATTTTAAGCAATAATAAAAAAATAATGCTAAATAATAACAACAAAAAACAAACAAAAAGAGCAGACCTGCAGACTCCCCCATGCAAGGCAGACCCCTGAGAGTTCTTGGCTGACTCGGTCCGTGGGGAACACTGTCTCTTTGAAACAATGTCCCAAAGGGCAGTGAGGTTCCACACCACTATGAGGACAATGCTACTGTTTAGTGACGGAATCCTGTAACTAAACGGGTCTCTGTGGACCAGCCCAGAAATCCAGCAACCTTAATTGTCAACATCATTTGTATGAGAAAATACTTTCCGACTTCCCAATAATGATCCTTCAGGCCTTATAAATATAACGTAGATGTTATCATAAAACAAAACTAACCTGATTGTTCTCTGGTTGGGAGTGGTCCAGTTCCCTCCTGTTGCACACGGGTGACGCCCTTACTTTATTCAATCTTTGCTCAAATGTTACCTCCTAAAAAAAGTATTCTCTGATCGCCGTATCTAAAATAGAGACTTGTAGTTTTTTTTCATCACACACATCTCCACCCGAAATGTTTATTTGCTTGTTTACATATTTCTGGTCTGGCTTCCCCACTAGAACGTACATGTCTTAAAGGCAGGGGTTTTGTCCCTTATTTGGCAATACTATCAGTGCCTTAAATAGTGTCACAGACATAAAAAAAAAACTTGATGATTTATTGTATGAACAGTGAACAAACTGGACTGATTTATCCTGCTTTGCTTCTCTCCAACCTGTAAAGCAGCCCCATGTCACTGCGCCTCACTTTTCTTGAAAAGGGGTGCTGGTTATATGACCTCTAAGCAGCTCTCAAGGCTTCAAATTTTATGATCCTTTGCTCTCTCACTTCTGACATTTATGACCTAAGAAAGTCCAGAGAGGGTAGAGAATCTGCACTTCTTCTCTGTCCTCTCTCTTCCTCTGAGCCTAACTCAGAGCCAGGTCTACTGACTTTCACAGCTCTTCTACCATTCTCGCTCCTCTTCTCATTTTGTCCTACCCATCCCAGGAAACACACGCCAAGAACACTGGAAATGTAGTTAGGTGAAGTCAGAGGTACAGGATGCTACGCAAGTGGGTAATCAAATCTCCCTTATATTTCTGTTGTGGAATCAGAAGTTGTGTGACAGGAAGTTGTGTGACATGAAGTTGTGTGATATGAAGGGTAGATGGACACACAAGGACTCAAATATTGGCAGCTCTCCCTTTGGAGAGATAATCCTTTGAAAGTACAAATGTTCTTGGGAGAGATGTCATCTTAAACTAACTCACATTAAGGTGCTAGTAAATTATTAGAGCATTTCTGCTAACTGAAGGTTCTAGATGCTTCATTAACTATGTAACCTGAAAACTCAGGGAGTAAAAGGTGTAGAAAGGGGAGGTGAAGATCATGGAAGATAAAATTTACTAACATAATGGCTTTATCTAGAAACAGCCTTGTTAAGCCTTCTAATTTTCTTTTTAAAGAACAGTATAAAATCACTCTAGAAGATGCTAGAAAAAGAATAATCAGAGACACTTTGTTGCAACTGGACCAAAAGAAGGAATGGGCCACAGAGGTATACTTCAATTTTCTTATTTTAAGAAACATACAACTTTCCCCCTTATTTTTCCTTGTAGTATCCTATATAATAAAAGGCTAATATGAAAATTGTCCCCTCCACCAGGAATTTGACCGGGAGTTCAACCAGAGGGCAGGGCCAGCTGGCCAACCGCCCTCAGCCCCTCCCTATAGCCAGCCCGGCCGAACCCCACCCATGCACGAATTTGTGCACCAGGCTTCTAGTATTATAATAGTTAAGAACTTGAGGTCTTAAGCTAGGCAGTTTGAATTTAAATTACAGTTCTATCACTTAGTTGGTGTATAAACTGAATTTGTTACTTGACTTTTCTGGGCTTCAGTTTTCAAATCTATAAAAAGGGGACAATAATAATATTTACCTTTAAAGAATAAGGATTGAATAAGATGATTTAAATAGTATAGTACCTAATAAGAATCAAGAGCTCAGTAAATTATTATTCATTTATTTTTAAAGTATTATAATAATAATGGCTACAGTAAGTTATTAAATAAAGTTGTGGATGAATTATAGAATAAAATATAGTTTGTCTAAAAAGTACTTTCTGACATATCCAAACCTAACGGAGCATACTTTATATTCCTGGAGCTTTAAAGATTTGGGATATAAAAAATATTTGAAATATAATTTCTAATCTTATATGTTTTTGAACTTCTTTGTTTTGCAAAAATATCTCTTTTTTTCCTCATTGTCCTTCCCCTGTCCACAGAACTTCTCCTAAATCAGTGGGGTCCCCACTGGGATTGTCTCTTCATCTGGAATATTACTTCTTCAGAATCATAAATGCCTGGTCTTTTCTAAAATTCTTCACTGAGTTTCAGTTGCAACTGTTTGCTGCTTCCCTGTTGGTTCAATTGTTCTTTTACTATTGTTATCCTATTGTGTGATTTTTACTGGTTTACACAAATAGAAGATTATGAAACTGACCAATGGTTTGTCTGCCCATACAGTTGGGCCACTTTGACTGAATATGACAAAATGGTGAAATCAACAATTTAGTGATCTGATCATAGTTAAGATGATTAAAAAGGCATATGTAGATCAGATATGCTTTAAGTAGACATGCTCAGTATATAATGAGGACTGATTTACTGTTCCTCACATTTTACATCTAAGTCTCTCAACAATTCTATAAAGTAAGAACCTGCTAATGAGAAGCCCAAGGCACAGAGACATTTTATGACTTGCCCAGAGCACGTGGCAGACTCGAGATTCAATTCAAGATTCCTCTCTCCTTCAGATCATTGCTCTTAATCATCACACACATCTTCTTCTCTCTGCATAACCCAACACCCTCACACGCGAATGAGTTTGCCTCATTCACCCTGGCTATTTTAGCACATAGTTTAATTTCCTATAATCCATTGTGGCACATCCTTAGCTGCATATTGAAATCACCTGAGGAATTTGTTTAATCCACGTGGTGCCTGAGTCCCACTTAGAGATGCTCATGTAATTGGCCTGGGGTGTTGCCAGGGCTCCTGGATTTTCCAAAGTGTTCAGGAGATTCTAATGTGTGGTCAAAGTTGAAAACCACTGCTCCATTGTTAGTGAATTAAGCTGTTATCCAAATAACTTCAGTTATGAGCTACTCCCTGCTTTTGTCCAGATGAAATTCTGTGTTTGAGGAAACTTGAGAAGTAGCGGTTGTAGCAGGAGTATAAAAGTTCCTGGTTCCTAGGAAATGTACTAGTAGGTCCACTCTTAGTTTAATTAGCCTGGTTTAAAGAAAAAAAAATTATTGCAAATCTTCCAACTCTAAGGGATAAATTTTCCCTTAACATATTTTAAACTTATTTCTGTCCATGTTTATGGACTTGAAGATTTTTCCTAATTTCTCTTCTTTCGGTTGTGCCCTTCAGTGGCTGAATACTGAATTGGTAACATGGGTATCCATATAAAAGTACTTTAGGGATAGATATGTTAGGTTTGTAAATATGTACTATTGTTATTACTGACACGCAGAAATCTTTGATTAGAAAGTTAGTAATGTAATTATTCGTTGGGTCATGTGTTTGACCATCAACTTGAAGAATGTTTGGTCACTACAGCTTAGCCGTCTTAATTGTGAAGCAGATCATTAGTGATTTGATTTCACCATGGCAGTCAGACTGGGTCACAGCAGAGACTAAATTGAATAGACAGCCGTTGTCCAGTTCTCTCAGTTGCCTGTCTTAGGCAGTGTAAACCAGTAAAAACAATGCAGTAGGATAGTAAAGCCAGAACAGCGGAACGAAAAGTTCCTAGGTGTGTTTCCAAAGTATTTGCAAAGCAGAATTTAAAAGGAACGACCAGGTAAGTTGAGTTGCATCATCAGTGCTAAACTTGTGAACCACCACGGTGACTCGTCCTTAGAGAGAAATTGTCTTTCAGAATGCCGTGCGGTTCATCGACAAGGGCAGCTACCGGGAGATCTGGGAGAACGACTGGCTAAAAAAAGAGGTGAGTGGAATTGTTAAAAACAATGTCCTTTTCTCAGTTCTTTGAACTGGAAATGACTTTTATTTATGAGCTAAAGTCCTGGGAAAAGCACAGAACTGTCACTGACGGAGGAAAATAAAATTCAAATGGAGTCTTAATCTTATTACAAGCTGTTACTCAACAAATGCCATAAATAATTTCAATAATAACCAGAAGTCACAATTCACAAAATATACCCAAATGTACAAGCTTCTTTATGCCTTCACACTGATCTGGTCTTCCTCAGGATCCCACTTCCTTCTGGGGCAGTGGTTCTCAACCTTCCTAATGCCACGACCCTTTAATACAGTTCCTCATGTTGTGGTGACCCCCAACCATAAAATTATTTTCGTTGCTACTTCATAACTGTAATTTTGCTACTGTTACGAATCGTAATGTAAATATCTGATATGCAGGATGTATTTTCATTGTTACAAATGGAACATAGTTAAAGCATAGTGATTAATCACAAAACCAATATGTAATTGTATATGTGTTTTCCAATGGTCTTAGGCGACCCCTGTGAAAGGGTCGTTGGACCCCCAAAGGGGTCGCGACCCACAGGTTGAGAACCGCTGTTCTGGGGGATGGGGGCAAGGCCAAAGGATCATTCCAACCTCACTGTCTGCTGTTGTAAATTGCCTTTGGGGGATAGCATGGTCTCCTTCCAATAGATGTTCAGTCTTTTTTATTTTCTTTCCTCCCCCTGCTCTTCTCTAAGATGGACCCTTGATGTATAGGGAGGTGGGGCTTACATGCCTTCTTGTGGGGAGTGTTAGTAAAAAGGGCTCAGATCTATGGGGTCTCCTTGGGATCCTTGCTCCCTCTGCCTTTCTGCTGTGTGGGGAGTGTTTTAGTCTGCTTCCCACACCGCTGACTTCTAAAACGACTGCTCTGGCCTTTTGGACATTCGGTTGCAGCCAACACCAAACCCACAGTTATAGCCATTTGCCAAAGGTCAAGATGTCCCTGCCCACTGCAGTCTCTCCATCCCATCCCAGCCTGGCCCTCCTCCTAAAGAGCCTGTGGGAACCAGCGGCCCAGCTGTCTATCCGTCTCCCTGTACCAAGGCTCTAACACGGCTCTTGCTGGATGTGACCATGTGGGGACCTCTAGACCTTCTTTATCTAGAACCCTATTTGGGGTACTTCCATTTTCCCTGCCCTGCACATACTGGTCCCTCTGCCCTTACTCCTTTGCCTGGAAAACTCCAACTTTTCCTTTAGCCACTTGATTGTCCATTGCTGTGTGAATCATTTTGTAACTCCCCCAGGAAGTCTTAATGCTTTCCCCCCAGTGCTCTCTTGTTTCACTGTAACTCTTTCTTTTATAAAATATGTTGAAATTGTCTGTTTATGCATCTGTCTCTTCACAGAGCAGGCTATGACTTTTCCACTATATATCCCTGAAACCTAATAAAATATTCTCATTAAGTAGTTATTGAATGAAAGGATGTCCCTGGGTATAGATATATTTATTGGAGGAATGAATCAAATATATGGCTTAAATTTTGAGTGAATATGTGAGAGCATGTTGTTGGATGAAACAAGCACATCATCTTTGGTCTAGATCAGTGGTTCCCAAACTTATTTGGCCTACCGCCCCCTTTCCAGAAAAAATATTACTCAGCGCCCCCTGGAAATTAATTTTTTAAAAATTTTAATAGCAATTAAACAGAATGATATATGTATTAATGTTTCTACCTTTTTCGTAAAATATAGTAAAGAAAGGTGTAAATTAGAAACATTGAAGTTTGAAATTATGAAACTATTTATTGAACTCAGAATAGAAAGGTAATACAAAAAAAGTTAAAACGAATGCACCTGTGGCCATCACCGCCCCCCTGGATCGCTGCAGCGCCAACCAGGGGGCGGTAGCGCCCACTTTGGGAATCACTGGTCTAGATGTTATAAGATGCTACAGAGGTTGTGCCAAACTCACTACCGTACTTTGAAATTCCCTTTATGCCCTGACAAGTAGCCACCAAACCTATGCTTAGCTGCCATCTGTGAACGAGAACTCACTACTGTTTGAGAGAACTCTCTTCAACTACACACGGCTCTTGTTAGCAAGTTATTTGTATGTGATTCTCAAAGGTACATCTTCGGCACTAACTTGTGTGTGTCCTTAGCTCTGGACCTGTATTTTAATTTGCCTGCCAAATGGTCCCACTTGGATGTCCCAAAGGCACTTCAAACTCCACGTAGCCAAAGCAGAGCTCATTAAATGCCCCCTTAAATTTTCCCTTCTTGCATTTCCTTTTGCACCATCTGCTCAGACACCTGAGGTGAAAATGTCACTGTCACCTTCTCTTCTCTTCCCTTTTCCTAGCTTCCCATGTGACCAAATAGAGTTAGTGAGTCTAGAAAGCAAGGGATTAAAAAAAAATCAACATGCTTTTTGTGATGTTGACAGTTCTTTTTAAATTGCCTTGATAAAATCATGGTCCATACTGTTTCCAAAAACTGATCAAGATGAATCCCCAGTTTTAAAAACTAGGTATTGCTCTCTCTGCTTCCTGTCGCTGCGTCGGCAAGGTGGGGGAGCCGAGCTAGCTCGAATACAGATTCTTATGCTTTTGCATCGGATTGGCTGGCTCCCTGATGTGGTTTCTTGGGAATCTTGAAATCTGGGCATAACATTTGGGGGCTCGCCCGGGGTTCCCAGGACCATGTAGGGATCCTCAATCCGTAGAATCTGCGTAGCCGCGGTAAGTGTCTGTGTGTTGTGTATTCTGTCCTGTGTGAGCTCACTTCTGGAATCGGTGCCTGAGGGGTCCAGGCGGACGCGCCGTGTACGACCACAGGCGGGGGAGAGTTAGAAGACGTTCTGCTCCCCACGAGGAATGTGTATTCTCCTCACGGATATGAGAGATGTGTATTCCTCTCATGAGAGAAGTGTATTCCTCTCGTGGATTTGAGACGAGGCGGGTCGCAACCGCCGGGTTTGGCATAATGCCATCGTCTAGTTGCTTCCATAGAGTTGGAAAGCTGTTCTTTGGGCCCTGTTTGTCTGTGCCTGTTTCTCTGTTTTCTGTGGATTGTGGTTGCAAGGAGATTGCGGGAGGCTTTAGAGCTCCCTCAGGAATTGGGAAGTTGTTAGGAATTGAATGGATTGTTTAAACTCTGAATGAATGTCTGGTGAAAGTATGTGAGTGTAAAAGCAGGGGGGAGGTCCCCGCCTGCCCGCGCGCCTCCCAGGCAGGGAAGGTGAGCGGGGGATCACTGTGCCTGGGGCCGCAGGAGTCGGTTCTCTGCAAGTTGGGGGCAGGCGTGCAGGAGCCGGTGCACGGTGACCGA